ACCCTACCCCCCCCCCCCCTTTCCCCCCCGCGAAGAAAAAAAAGCAGAAAGTATTGGAATATGAAAGAGAAAAAAGATAGTAATTAAATAATTGGAAATGGAATTGGGGATACCGGAAAAGTTGGTAACTTCCGAATCCCGAGGATTTGAGGTTGCAGAAGACCGCCACAACTATGAAGGCGTGTGGTGAACACGGATCGGAGAGGAAGGAAGATTGTGGTGCTGTGAATTTTCTGCTTCTTTTTTAGCAATTTGAGAAAGTCAGTAGATTGTGACTGGCTATAACCGGTCTAGCAGTATTGGTCGAACCGAAATGCTTGTTGCACCCGTAACACACGTGGGAGTTGAAGATCTTGGAAGTCTAATTTGTCCTTTCTCAATTTATACAATACAACTGTAATTAACTCCACTACCAAAAATAATTTTTCTTTTTATAAGAATAGGAACTTACCTAATTTAGTTCAAAATAGGAAAAAGTTGATTATTATAATAATTTCCTAATTTTAGTAGCCGTTTTACATTAAAAAAAAAAATATATGTGAGATGTGAATAAATGTAATTTTTGAATATTTGAACATGTAATTTCGGGCTCCCTGCGTACGCTTCCTCCGAGGTCTGCGCTTAGATCCGCATTCAAAGCAATGTGTGAACTAACATCAACTGGTTTCATATTTGGCACTTGCCGAGGGTTTATCGGTGGTACACCGACCCCTACATTGTTGTTTTCCCCATGAAATCCAAGACCATCGTTGTCGTGTACAGGTGCGTTTTGCGAGTTTGACATGTTTTAACCTGAGAACAAAAATTCTTGACAAGAACAAGTGTGAAAATATCGTGTGTTATCAGAATCAATACTGAAATAATCACTATTATCTTTAGCCCCACGGTGGGCGCCAAAGTGTTTACCTCGAAAATACGAGTAACAATTACACTTGATTTATGATTTTAAAGATATGTGATTTAGCTCAATACTAATTAATAACCAAGAAATCTGAAGTATAAATGAAGGAAATAAGTAAAATCAAACTATTGTGCAAGTCAGTCTCGACCTCGAGCTAAGGTGACCTCGAGGTGGATCAAGAATAATAAAGTAAGAATAATAAAGTTTAAAGGACAATTCTGATGAGCAATGAGCGAGAAAGTGAGAGAGTATATTCTTTTGCCAATGATCGATGATGGTTACAAATGATTGGGGTCCCCTTTATATAATAGGGGAACCTAAATAAGGTACATTTCCATTTACAATAAAGAATCTTATTGGGACAACTATCTAATCGCCTAGTACGAATTCGTACAAATCTATTCCAAGATTTACGCCACGATCTTGGGGACGTGGCAGGAATCTTGCTCATTTTGTTACAAATCCATAACGGCATTATCTCGAGGCCGGTCACGTTCGGCCTCGACATTCATCGGTCACTTTGATCTTCGAACTTCAAACTCTGCCATCGGCCTCGAACCTAGTGTATTTCGGACTTACTCTTGAAGTGGTTCCTCGAGCCTCCTAAATCGAGCATACTTGATTTTGACCGTATATATATATATATATATATATATATATATATATATATATATATATATATATATATATATATATATATATATATAT